TTTTCCTATTAAGTATACGTAACATATAATTACCAGCTAGAGATATGTGCTGCTCATATTTTGTTTCGTAATTTGTTTGAATTTTTTGTATATGTTTTGAAACACTTCAAATATAACGTTTGGTTTATGGATTAAAATCATGAGATTAGAACCATTTTTGATTTACGTGTATTTTTTGTGAGAGAAAACATTATAACGAATCATGAACCATGATTCAAATCAGGATACGAATCCCCCAACCAAACAACCCTGACTTGACAATGATTTAAGAACAAACTTATTTGTCACGTATTGAAATAAGTGTTTAAGATGAGATGAAAAAGGACCTCTTTAATTAGGCCCCGTTCATTTTTTTGATTCGAGTTTTATTACAGTAAAATGTTCTCATAAACAGTAATATTTAATTTTTTTACTACAGTAAAAAAATTTTTACATAAAATCACATCTCAACTCGAATTAAAAACTCGAATCAACGAACTAAACGCGCCTTATTAAAAATTCTTATGGGAGATTTCAACAATGATATTCTGTAAAATATTTTGTGGAAATCCAATATTGATGATTGTGACATTTCTTCTCGGATCACAAGTTACAATATTTTGTCTCCACTCTCCATTTGTTAATATTTTTTTAATTGTTTTCTTTTTTCGAAATGTATGGATCAGATGTGATTTATTTCCTACCCAAGACAGAAAGAAAAATGCATGTGTGAGGTTTAAATACGTAGGGGCCCAAGATGATGGGGTACAATATTGAAATGAAAGACAAACACCAAGATTTGGAACTTCCTTGTTTTCTCTGATACAGACACAGACAAGGCGGATCAAAATCCCAGATACTTTTGCCTTCTATAAAAAATTATATTTATATGCATTAATTGTTACCTGTTAACTCTGGCAAATTATATTGTAATAGCTTCTCTCACCTATAAAGGGTAATATAACGGCTTCGTTTATTTTATTAATTTAAATTTTTAATTTTAAATTTTTACAGTAAAAATTTTTTAAAAAATATCACATTTAATTTTTTCTGTTACAGTAAAAAATTCTCAAAAAATATTACATTTTAACTCGAATTAAAAATTTAAATCTGCGAAATGAACAAGGTCAACATATGTGACATGTTGATACGCTACTAAATCCGTTTATCAAAAGTACTCCTAGGAAAATGGAAAAAAAAAAAAAAACTGAATGTCTTATATGGAAGAGTATCCTCTAAAATGCTTATAAGAAAAGTTGAAAAAAAAAAAGTTTGCTTGCTTTTGCATTGCGAGGAATAAGTAACTTAAAAAAAAAAAAGAAAAGGAAAAAAAAAGCAATAATAACACTATCTGAAGTTTAAAGTCCGTTTAGTTCATAGGTTTAAATTAATAATTTTAGTTCTGAATTAATTTAAATTTTTTATGTGAAAAAAAATATTATAGTATAGTCAAAAATAATAATTTAAACCATATAAAATTTTTAAAACAAAGGCAACCTTACAGTTTTTTCACATTGCTTGTAGGTTGCCAGGTAGTCAAGGTTTGGATCCATGGTTGACTGTAATTTTCATTTTCTTTCTAAAGAAAATAGAAGATTTATGCCTCGTTCAATTCGCAGATTCAAATTTTTAATTCGAGTTGAGATGTGATATTTTCTGAGAACTTTTCACTATAGCAAAAAAAGTTAGATGTGACATTTTTTGAGAGCTTTTTACTGTAGAAACTTAAAACTGAAAACTCGAATCGGTGAAATGAACGAGGCCTTAGACTCTGTTTATTTCACCGATTCGAGTTTTATTATAATAAAAATTTAATATATTTACTACAATAAAAAATTCTCACATAAAACTATATCTTAACTCAAATTAAAAACTCAAATCAACACATTAAATAGACCCTTAATATTCTTCAGTAGTTGATCCCTATCACAATTTGTAAGCACTGATAACCGATTCCCCCTATCTAAATCATTACCTATTCAATCTATAGTTTATCATTGACTTCTGCACCATGCCATTAAACTACATATTCACATGCATGCTTTCTTTAAAATAAAAGTCAATCATTAAAAAAAAGAAACTGATGTAGTAATTTATATTATAACGAAATATATTTTTAAGAATTATCTCCGGTCAGACATTTAAAAAGTGTCTGATTAGTCAGACACTTGTATAATTATACATAAATTATATATATTTATATGTAAAGTCGTGTATATTTAACATGAAATACAACAAATAAGTTAATATACATATATTTCATGCTATGTGTTCACTAATTGCTATAAAAAATACATGTTTTGAGGATTAATATACATTATCGTTTCTTATAACTTAACATACACGATTTATATGTAAATATACACGATTATACAATTATACAAGTACTATGTAAATATACATAACTTGCCTATAAATATACATAACTTACTTGTAAATATACATAATTTATCTATAAATATACACAATTAATATATAATTATACAAGTGACTGATTGGTCAGACACTTTCTAAATGCCTGACCAGAGATCTTACTTATATTTTTAATAGCGTATATTTTTAATAATATTAAAATAGTACTTTTGTGTTTAAAAAAATATCTTTTAAGTATCTTAAGTATATTTTTTAAGACATAAAATGTCTTTTATATTCTTTTAATTAATTTACTCTAGAATTAAGTTAAAAAAGAACGTTATGAAAATATTTATAAACATAAAATGTCTTTTATATTCTTCAAAAACTTGCAAACCAATTGATATTGAAATAAAGATTTCATAGAACTGCATTGTCTACGACACAATTTCTAATGACTCAGACCAAAAAGAAAATGAAAAAACTCTAATGAAATAAAAAAAAGATAAAAATCTCATTCATTTTACTGATTTGAGTTTAAAATTTTAATTTTATTATAATAAAAAATTCTAAAAAATAATCTTATTTAATTTTTTATAATAAAAAAATTATTACATAAAATTACATTTTAATTCAAATTAAAAATTTAAATTATGGATCTAAACGGCTCAAAAGAACGGAGATCAAATGTTTAAAACAAACAAAATGAAACTAAAATCAAGACTTAAATCGAAATCAAAGCACTCTTCACCATATTTTCTTCTAGTGCAAACCCAGACCTGAATGCTCTCTCAGATTGCAAATCCAAACCGAGAAGGAAATCTGAAAAATCACAATTACACACTTAATTAAACCCATTAACACAATCTCACTAATATAAATATCTCCCTCATTTTCCATCTGATCGTTCACAAAGAGAGAACCAACAAATGCTTCGTCTATACATCGTCGTCAGAATAGTAATTCGGAGCACAATTTTACTCATTTTCTATCTGATCGTTCTCCGATCAAAATCCCCTGAAATCAAGCTCAAATCCATGTCGGATTACAAATCCAAACCCAAAAGGAGATTTGAAAAATCAGATTTGTCGGGAAGGGGATAAAAGAATGCAAAACCGTTCGATCCAAAGTCTCGCCAGAGCCAAAGAAGGCTAAGCCTAGAACTTTTCTAAGATTAAGAGGAGCAGAGAGCAAATGGACGGGAGAAAAGCAGGTGGAGGCTGGGTGGGGAGAAAAGTTTCTGGGTTGATCGTTGTGTTTTTTTTTTTTTTTTTTTTTTTTTTTTTATTTTTATTTTCAACATTTTCAACAAAATTTTATATTTAAACTTAATTGTGGAGAAAATTAATTAAAATGGTATAAAAGGCATTTTGTGTTTCAACAAATAGTCTTAAAGTACTTAAAAGACGTTTGCGGAGAAAATTAATTAAAATGGTATAAAAGACATTTTGTGTTTCAAAAAATAGTCTTAGAGTACTTAAAAGACGTTTTCCAAAACGTGATGGTATTATTTTAATTTTATTAAAAACACAAGATATATCAAGAACATATTTTATTATAATATAAAATATCAAAATAATTTTATCTTAAAAAAGAAATATAGAGACACTTTCTTTTCTTATTAACTATCTTTTATACTAATTTATAAGGTTATTTAAATTTAAGAACTTGACAACAAAATAAATGCTAACTGAAAACTAAAATACTAAACAATGTTATAATATCTCAGATTTTAATTAGAAAGACAACACGTTAAGTAAAATTAAAATACACATAACTCTAGCCAAACTACTTGAAGTTAAAAATGTTGGCATCTCTATCTCATAAACAAGGACTAAAATATATTTAGTGAACAAACGCTCGTGGCCATTTCCATTATTTTATATTAATCACGTATCCACGACCTCTCGGCTTTTATAGATATACAATCAATCTGGGTTATCTCGCCGCGTGATTTCATCAGCATGACCGCAACCACGCAGTAACCTCTTAAGTAATTAATAAAGGAACTTTTATATTATATTGGGAAAAATAAATGATTATTAGTTTTTTATTATAAAATTATTTGTTTTGCACTTATTAATTTAATGTAATGTTAATTTTTATAGTTTAAATTATAATTTAAGTTATATATGTAAAAAAATTAAATTTAAATTTTTAAGAGAATATAATTAACATCAAAAAGTCAAAAAAAAAGAAAGAAATTATTTTAAAATCAACCCACCGTCTATAATAATTGTGCAATAATAACTATTAAAAACATTGTTATTGTGCGTTTGGAATAAAAATCTGTGTCATGATTTAGATCATAATTCGTGGTTCGTTACGGTATTTTTTCTCATAAAAAATACACGTAAATTGAAAATAATGCTGAATCTATGAACTAAACGTCGCTTAAATCTCAACTGTTTGTATCTCGTATTAAATTTAAGACCCATTTAATTTATTGATTTAAAATTTTAATTTAAATTAAAATATAATTTTATATAAATTTTTTTTATTATAATAAAAAATTTAAATATGATTATTTTTAAATTTTTTTTTAATAAAATCTGAATTCTAATGAGCGGAACGTTAACATGTTATTTGCCTCGCTTCAAAAAAAATTGAACGTTGTTCGCTGTATGTACTGCTCGTGATTAAGGACAAACACGTGGCCCCAGAAAACTTTCGAAACCAGCAGCTAAAAAGCTGTCTTCTTCTAAAGCCAAAAAAGGCTACAGAAAATCAATTAGGCTTGTTAACTTGCCTTGGTTAGTACTCATCTTCGTCCTTGCACTTGCCATTAGAGCCTCTGCTTTTTCCGTTTTGCCAGAAATTTTTGTTTTTTATTTTTGGTTTCTTTTTGCAAGTGTTCGTCTTCTCTCCTCTCGATATATATATATATATATATATATATTGGTAAGCCTTATCTCTCTTAATTTATTTCTTCTGCACTCAAACATTTTGTTTTGCTGATGAGAAAAATCTGAAAGCCCTAAAGCCCCAAATCCATCAAAGCTTGCCAATCACGCTGGTTTTGATTGCCTGGTTGAGTGAGTCTACTAATGTTCTTTGGCAGTCTTTTCAATTTTCTGGTAATATTTCCTTCCTTCAACTTATATCGCATCCATGCCCTGTTGTATCTGCAAAGTCTTCCATTATTTTCTTTCAATCTTTTGGCATTCTAAATGCTATGGGTTATGCTTAGATCTGTGTTTTGTATAAGGCTTTGCTAAAAAAAAAATCTTGTGTTTGATATTTTTATGAATTAATGTATTTGTTGATTTTGTGGTAAATATTGATTTTTGGTTTGTGCATGTTTACTGAAGAAACTTCTTGGCTGCGGTGCTCTTATCTATTCTATAATCTATAACTAATATAGAAATTTAACTCTAATATGAAAGTTGGTTCCAACACCAATATTATTACTGGTTTTTTGGATGAAGTAGCATCCACTCAATGATGTAACGATATATACATAGAGATACTTCATTGCAAAGTGTTCCCTCAGATTTTATCTATGGAGATGATGAGGATATTGTGGTCATGAACGATTTATGGAGGTTCTAAGTAATTCACTTATTGGATCAACTGTCAAAAAAAAAAAAAAAAAAAAAAAACGTATTATTTGTTTTCTTTCCCTGTTATTTTGAATACTTAAATGTAGACTTGGATATGAGCCACGTTGGAATTGTCTTCATTGTATGGCATTTGTCTGATTTCGTGTATCGTCCTCTAATATTGCCATATTATCACACTTTCTCCGCCGCTTATTTACTCCCACATCCCTTTTTGCTATCATTTTTTACATTAAAAATGAACAATATTCAAGGGAGGGTGGTTAGAAGAGTTATTTTTGTTCACTAAAAAATGTCCTTGCCGTTCTTCTCTTTCTAATCATCTCCCAGAAGAGCCTTATGCATTGTACTCCATAAACATATGAACAACAATTAAAAAAAAACCCATTGTCCACCATTTTTTAAAATTACATCTCCAATGAATTTACAAAAAGGGCACGCACGTCGAAGCACGTGGCTTGAAACTAGTATTATATATATTGTATATATCAATGCAATTATTCATATTGCAACTTTCTGCTTCATTCCAATCTTCCTATTGCTCTCGGTTTAAGAATTATTTGGTTTTGAGAAATTTAAAGATAACGAAAAATTACAGCTTTCATAATGCAGTGGTTGAGCTTGGCTCTTACATTACATGTATATTGTCTTCTTTTGGTTTGAATACTTTGATAAAATTGGATTGGATGGTTTCTTAATACTTCGATCTTTTCCTATTGGTGGAATTAAATTTAAGAGGTTCAGTTAAACAATTAAAGAGTTTGATCTTTTCCTTTTAGTCGGTATGTTCTTTCAGGATTGTACGTTCATTCCATGTAATGAGTTGTTAATTTTCAGAAAGGAATGATCGGCATAAATATAATACCAACAAAGCTTGCTTTTGAGGTGGGATTGACCCATTTCGAAACTCCGCTACTTCCTTTTTTTGGTCAAACTCTGGCATTAACGAAGTTGGGAATTAATATTTGGTTTTTATGTTGCTTTTTCCACCAAAATGCTCTGCCCTATATTTTCCTCTACAAACATTAACTTTGTAGGCTAATAACTGTGAAGGGTCATATAAATCTTACTAAATGGCACGTTCCACTATTAGTTTACTGCTTATTTTAAGGATTTTGCTTGTTTCAAATATTTTTCATAAGGATGCATAACTTTCTATATTGTGTTACATACTAATTTTAAGATATATCTTGACATCTGCTAAATTGTCCTACCAAATCTATAGATTTTTTATTTTTTAAATACACAAATCTATGGATGTTTAGTGCTTACATTGACAGATACATTTATGTTGATTTATTTTCAGAAATAATATCTAATCATGACTTGTGCTAGGATTCTGAAGGGATAAGGATGTTATATACAATGATGAGATTTTATTGTTGGAAAATTCTCCTTCATTAGGAATAGTTGAATCTTTTTTGTTAGAGTCAATAGAATAAATGCTTATTTTCTTTGCTTAATTTTTCAATCAAAGACTTTGTGGAGGAATTATTATTTGTTTCATAATTTTTTTTTCCAAAAGCATTTTTTTCATAATTTCAATGTATTCTTTTTGAGTGAAAAACTACCTGCTGTTGATGCAACGAATCAGGTAAATATTGGTCATTAATGATACAAGATTTTCTTTACTGTTTCATATCTCTATGTTTTCAAATGTCAGAATTTAATCAACCCTAAAACAAAAAATTCAAAATTTTTATATGACTTAGCATGAAGAATTCGATTACTTGACTCAGAACATTCAAAGGGATGTTAGAAGGCAATCCTTCCAAATTTTCTTGCATTTCGTCAAATATGTATGCCTGGTTTTTTATTGTAAGATGATATCTTGTCGTAATGACATCTTTCTTCAAAGTCATATTAGTTGTTCTAAAATACTTAGACTTCATTTAATCTTTGTAAACTCATTTCCTTTTCTTTATAACTTTTTTTTCCTTTATATGTTTATACATTTGATTGAAGTTTGATGTTTCTTTTGCAGCAAACAAGCGATTAGCTCCAGCCATCAATTTGATCAAAATTTTGGAATTGGAGGTGTTTTTGTATATCATATGTAATCTTTGCAATTGAGTCTGTGGCATTAACAAAATCGATATCCAAGGCACTTTATGTTTTTGCCATTTTATGTTGTATTGTTTTGGCTGCTTTATGTGGATATAGCTTGTTCAATCTCATCAGAAATGCACATTTAGTTTGATTTGTACTTAAGTGGCATCCAATCAACTCTCAAGGGGTCTTGCATGTGTGGAGCATGTGCTCCCAACTAGTACAATGCTAAAAGAGTAAAGGTGAAAAAAATATTTGAGCTCTCGAGCAAAGCGGTTATGGAGGATGGTAAATGGATTTTGGTGCAGAGGCCAGCTGAGAAGGACTTGTGGAGGCCCAGTGGTTCGGTGAAGGAAGAAGAGGACTCTAAGCCTTTGAAGGTCACGTTTACAGAGCCCGCCAAGCACTGGACTGACGCAGTTCCGATCGGCAATGGCCGCCTTGGAGCCATGGTTTGGGGTGGCGTCGCATCAGAAACTCTCCAGCTCAATGGTGAACCTTCAAATCTTGTTTAGAAAAAAAAAATAATAATAATAATAAAACTAGCATTTTGAAGTTTCATTTTGAGAATTAGCATTTTGAAGTTTCATTTTGACAATTAACACCGATTTCTTGGCTTCTTAGTCTTATTTTATTTGTTTATGTGTTGATTGAAGTTTTGCAAGGTTGAATTTTTCACTTGATCTGTTTGTCGATTAAGGGATAGTGTAGGAAACTGAGAGTTATTCAAGATAAATGCTTTACTTCTCTTTTGTATTTTCATTAGTGACAAAACTGTTTGAAGTGTGCATTTGTCGTTGCAATTCTTGTTTCTTTCCTTCTTTCCCTTTTTTTTTTGTTTTGGTTATTACTTATTAGCTTCCTGAACCATGAGGATTGTATTACTTTGATCTCTGTACTTTTTTTTTGGGGCAAGTTACTTCCTGAATTTTGATAATTTTTTTTTTAGGATTTCTGAAATTTAAAATTGAAATTTTTTGGTGTTGTTTGTAGAATTGTGTGTTTGGTGAGGAACCATTCAAAGCAAAAATTTGTTATGTTAAAACTTTGGATGTTGCAGAGGACACACTTTGGACTGGAATTCCTGGAAACTACACTAATCCCAAGGCTCCTGAGGCATTGGCAGAGGTTAGGAAACTTGTGGATAATGGAGAGTATGTTGAAGCTACGAAAGAAGCAGTCAAATTATCAGGAGATCCTTCTGATGTATGTAAACTCATCACCTTCAATACAGTATTAATTTGTCCTTTAAGTTTTTATAATTCAATTTAATGAATTCCATTTAATTTCTAGGAATTATCCCTAATATCTTGTATATAACTTAGGAGGAGAATCCGGGATTCTACCGGATCTTTATTTTATCTTTCCTAGTTTAGTTGGTTTGTTTCCTTAGTTAGTTACAACCTAAGAATAGTCAAAGCTTTATTATTTGTATATATATGTGTACCGGCTGATTAAAGGAATAAGAATTGATATTCATTCTTCCGAAAAACCTTCACTAGGCTCGTATCTCTGGAAATTTTTTTTTTCTCTCAGCCCTGCTGCCTCTCACCATCATGCTCACGGCAGGTCTCTTTTTCCCCTCTGCCCTGCCGCCTCTCACAGTCACTCTCACGGTAGGCCTCTTCTTTTCCAGTCAACTGGCCTTATTCTCTTGGCCTTATCCTCGTATTGTGCTCCCGTATTCTCACGATTAGGGATCGATCTATTCCTCTTTTTCTCTAGACTTCACATCGCCGTTTTTTTTTTTGTTTTTCCCTGAATGACTAAATACGGCATGGCCACAGAGAAGTCTACCTCAACCTCGGCAGATAGTTCCACTACCGAAGTTTCATCCGCAACCAATTCCCTTGGAGGACCAGAAAACACATCAACTCTCATTACCGGACACAAACTCAAAGGCCACAATTACCTACAATGGTCACAATCAGTGATGATGTTCATTTGTGGTAAAAGCAAAGATGAATATCTCACTGGTGAGATTACAATTCCAGGAAAAGGAGACCCTAAATACAGAACATGGAAAACAGAAAACCACATGATCATGTCATGGTTGATCAATTCTATGAATAACGAAATAGGAGAAAATTTTCTCCTATACGGGACTGCAAAGGAGATATGGGATGCAGTGAGGGAAACCTACTCTAGCTCGGAAAATATCTCAGAATTGTTTGAGAGTGAAGCTACTCTTCATGATCTACGTCAAGGAGACCTCACGGTAACACAATACTACAATACTCTCACTCGTCATTGGCTGCATCTTGATATGTTTGAAGTCCATCCGTGGAAGTGCAGTGAAAGATACAAAGTTATACCGGGAAATAGTGGAGCAGAAAAGGACCTTCAAATTTCTTCTTGGCCTCAACAAAAATCTGGACGAGGTCAGAGGAAGAATAATGGGTACAAAGCCTTTTCCAAGTATAAGGGAGGCTTTTTCAGAGGTTCGTCGGGAGGAAAGTAGGAAGAAGCTGATGATGGGCTCTCAAAATTCCGCTCCAACTCTGGAAGGATCCACCTTGGCTGCTAGAGGACCACAGAGTAGTTTTACTGACAACAGGCAAAGAAAAGGAAGACCTTGGTGTGATCACTGCCGCAAAACAGGACACATCAGGGAGGAAAGTAGGAAGATTCACGGGAAACCATCTGATTGGAAGCCTTCTAGACCAAACAATGATCGGGAAGGCAGAATCAATATTGCTGCCACTTCTAGTGACAATGACACCTGCACCACTTCTGGTTCACAGGCTAAAAACAGCCCCTTCACAAAGGAACAACTTGAGGTACTCCAGAAGCTGCTTAGCCAGAATGTCATGGCTCAAACAAGCAATAAAAACCCGGGTTCTAGTATGCTAGCACATAAAGGTAATCTTTCAAATGCCTTTGCGGTTAATAAATGTCATACAAATCCTTGGATTGTTGACTCAGGAGCCTCGGATCATATGACGGGAGATGCCTCTATATTTCACGAGTATAGTCCAAACCTTGAGAACCATACAGTCCGCATAGCAGATGGTTCCTCATCAAGAGTTAAGGGAACAGGAGTAGTGAAAGTCACTAAGGATATCACCCTTCATTCGGTTCTTCATGTTCCTAATTTGGACTACAATTTAATTTCAGTGAGTAAATTAACTCGTGATCTCAATTGTGTGACTAAATTTTTTCTAAATCTTTGTGAATTTCAGGAATTGAATTTGGGGAAGACGATTGGCAGTGCTGATGAGTGTTTTGGGATCTATCTCCTTAAGGATAATATTTCTTCAAGAAGGCAATCTCATAATAAAAATGGTGGATCATTCAAGAGTCAGTCCTGTAAAAACACTTGTGTCAATAAGGATAGTGAGATTATGTTATGGCACTATCGTCTTGGTCATCCCAATTTCATATATCTCAGAAATTTGTATCCATCATTGTTTATCAATAAAAGTCCAAAGTTTTTCAATTGTGAAGTTTGCCAACTTGCTAAACACACTCGTAGTAGCTATCCTAACTCCTCATACAAACCTTCTCACCCCTTTGCCTTAATTCATAGTGATGTATGGGGCCCCCCAAGAGTAAAAAATATCACTGGAACGAGGTGGTTTGTGTCTTTTATTGATGATCATACTCGCTTAACATGGGTATTCCTTATGAAAGAAAAGTCTGAAGTTGGACAAATTTTTCAGAATTTTAATTCTATGATACAAACACAATTTCAAACCAAGATTCAAATTCTTAAAAATGACAATGCCAAAGAATACTTTGAATCAATTCTTGGCACATATCTCATGAGTCAAGGGATTGTCCACTTAAGTTCTTGTGTTGATACCCCTCAGCAAAATGGGGTTGCCGAGAGGAAGAACAAGCACCTATTAGAGGTGGCTCGGTCACTCATGTTCACCACTCACGTTCCAAAATATTTCTGGGGAGAAGCCATACTCACAGCCACATACCTTATTAATCGGATGCCTTCCAAAATCCTTCAGTTCCAAACTCCGTGCAATGTTGTCCTTCAAAATTTCCCACACACTAAATTCATCTCATCATTAGCTCCAAAGATATTTGGATGCTCTGCCTTTGTTCATATACACTCTCAACACTGTGGGAAATTAGACCCTAAATCCATAAAATGTGCCTTTCTCGGGTACTCCTCACATCAAAAAGGGTATAAGTGATACTCTCCCACAACCAAAAGGTTCTACAACTCAATGGATGTAACCTTCTTTGAACACCAATCATTCTTTTCCAAACCTGTAATTCAGGGGGAGAACATGAGAGAATTCCAGCTTTGGGATCTTGAATTTCAGCCCCAATTTTAGCCCCCTCCAGCCCATTCTCGGTCCTACTCCTCAAACAAATTCTACCAGTCAATCCGAGAGTCCACCAAGTCTATCCCATATCCAAGACAGTCCCAGTCCAAACCGTTCTAGTCCACCTCTTCAGCTTCAACAAAACAATGAAAAGAATAAAGAGGTAATTGTCTACTCCAGGAGGAAGAAGTCTGGAAAGGAGATAGAGCACACAATGCCTCTTACACTAGACCATGAAGCTGATCCGGATTCAATGTCTACACAAGTTCACTCGGGTAAGGATAATTTAGATATTACAATACCTACTATGGAGAATTTAGATGTTCCAATTACCTTGAGGAAAGGTGTCAGAACGTGCACGAATCATCCTATTAGCCAATTTGTCTCATATGTGAAACTATCACCATCATATAAGGCCTTCGTGTCTACTCTTGATAGTATGCAGGTTCCCAACACTATTCAGGAGGCTCTCAAACACACAGAATGGAGGAAGGCAGTTAATGATGAAATCCAAGCATTGGAGAAAAATAACACATGGGTGTTGACAGATCTTCCTTCAAATAAGAAGACTGTCGGATGTAAGTGGATTTTTACTATCAAACACAAGGCTGATGGTAGTATTGAGAGACTAAAAGCTCGACTAGTTGCTAAAGGGTTCACTCAGTCTTATGGAATAGATTATCAGGAAACTTTTGCTCCGGTGGCTAAACTAAACACTATCAGAGTCCTTTCACTTGCAGCAAACAAGGACTGGCCTCTACATCAACTGGATGTAAAAAATGCATTTTTGAATGGTGACCTTGAAGAAGATGTGTACATGGAAATACCTCCAGGACTGGAAGCAACTGTGGAAAGCAGCAAGGTGTGCAAACTCAAGAAGTCTTTGTATGGACTCAAACAATCTCCTCGTGCATGGTTTGACAGGTTTGCAAAGTCAGTTGTGAGAAATGGATTCACTCAATGTCAGGCAGATCATACATTGTTCGTGAAATTCTCCTCAGAAAACAAAGTGGCAGTCTTAATTGTATATGTCGATGACATCATTCTGAAAGGTGACTATAAGGAATTAGTGAGAGTGAAAGCAGTTCTAGCCAAGGAATTTGAAATCAAAGATCTTGGCAATCTCAGGTATTTTCTC